GTCCAAGTCGCTGATGAAGATATTGAAGAGTATCGGTCCAAGGACCGAGCCCTGTGGGACCCCACTGCCCACACCCTTCCAGGTCGATACCGACCCATCCACTACAACTCTCTGGGTGCGACCCTCTAGCCAATTTGCCACCCACCGGACTGTGTAGTCACCCAAGTCACAGCCTCTTAACTTGTTTACCAGTATGGTGTGGGATACGGTATCGAAGGCCTTCCTGAAGTCTAAGTATACGACATCAACCCCTACCCCTGCGTCCAGGCGTTTTGTAACCCGGTCATAAAAAGAGACTAGATTAGTCAGGCATGGTCTACCTGCTACGAACCCGTGCTGGTTTCCCCTCAGCATAATTTGTCCTGCCCGGCTCTCGCAAATGTGAGCCTTTTTCAAAGACTTTGCCTAGGATGGAGATGAGACTGACTGGTCTATAGTTGCCTGGGTCCTCCTTCCTCCCCTTCTTGAAAATGGGGACTACACTGGCTCTTCTCCAGTCCTCCGGGACCTGGCCCGTGTGCCACGACTACTCAAATATTACCGCCAATGGTTGTGCAATGACGTCAGCCAGTGCCTTCAGTACCTTTGGATGGCGCTCATCCGGGCCTGCCGACTTAAAGGCATCCAGTTCCTCCAAGTGACCCTGCACCATCTCAGGGTCTATGCTTGGTAGTCTGGCGTCCTGCTGCCGTCTCTCTACAATCCTAGTGAGAGCCTTGTCTTGCCCCTCACTTAGGAACACAGAGGTAAAGAACTCGTTGAGGAGTTCAGCCTTGTCCCCCATGTCCGTCACCAATTGCTTCTGCCCATTTAGTAGGGGTCCTATTCTACCCTGGGCCGTCCTTTTGCTCCCTATAGATCTAAAAAACAATTTTTTGTTATCCTTTACTTGGGATGCCATCCTCAGCTCCATGGTAGCTTTGGCCCGTCTAACTGTCTACCTACACGTGCGAGCAGAGGAGGTATACTCCTCTTTGGTAATCTCTCCCCATTTCCACTTTTTATATGCTCCCCTTTTAGTCCGCAG